GCGCACAAGCGCCCATCTTAGATAAAGCTATTTTCTTTATAGATCTCCTTTTATATCGAAAAGAAATTAAATTTTCATATCACTCAGGTCATGGAGCCATGGGTTGATGGGGGATGGAAGGAAGTGGTGGTATTCACAATCTGTGGGCCTTGAACCTGCAGGTTTGCACAGAGGGCTTCTGGAATAATGAACTTTTCAAAGTGCATACAAATTATGTTTTGCATTGATTCTTCATTGAGATTTCAAAGCTTTCATCAGCTTTTCAAGAAAAACACCCTCCTCCAGTGTAAGACTAGGATGGTCAAAAGTGCATGAACTTTTAAGTCAATCAGCCCTGGGTTAGAATCTACGTATTATTTGACCTTTCTGAACGTGTTTCTTCATTTATAAAATGGGGATAGTGATACTGACCTCATTTGACTATTTAATTATTTAAAGCAGCAATTTTCAAACTTCAATATGCCTGTTAACCACTTGGGAGCTTGCTAACATGAGCACTGTCAGTAGGCCTGGGGTGGTACATGGTATTATTCTACAATGTCCAGGGAGCTCCCAGATAATACTGATGCTGTTGGTCTGCATCCCACAATTTAAGTGGCAAGGACTTCAAACACTGGTTCTCAAATTTAACTGCAAAGTGGAATCACTGGAAAGTTAAAAAAAAATAATGATATCTGGGACCCACTCCCAAAGTTTTTGATTTAAATGGCACTGGGTATAGCCTGGGTGTCACGATTTTTTTAAAGCTCCCCAGATGCTCTGAATGTGAAGTTTGAAGAATCACTGATTTACAGCACAGTACCTGAAACATATCACATGCTCTGCAACCATTAGTTTCCTTAGGAGACTCCTCAATTATTGGGGTAGGGTAATGAAAAAAAAAATTCTTTCCAGTGGTATAAGAACAGAAAAGATTGCTGGCAACTACGCAAGTTGAATCTCATTCTGCAATAGACTTGCTGTGAGACCAGAGGTGTGGTTTCTTATCCTGTCTGTGTTTCCTATACTTAAACAATTGGAAGGAAAGGGATAATTATCCTTTAACCTCACATATTTGTTGGGAAAATTAATGTTTATACTGTGCTTTGAGACTCATGGATGAAAAGATATTCAAGACATTTAAAATATATAAAGGGAAAGGATAGATACTCTTTAAAATTTTTCAGTAATTGGCTAAACAAGCGCAGATAATGTTGGGACAGTAGGAAGAAAGATGTCAGTGAAGGGGATGTTGACATTGGCATGTTTTCTTCAGTTGCTTGGAGACACAAAACCTATATTGGTTCATTTTACTGGCCTTAATAATTTCTAAAGGATTTCTTTTCTGGTGGGAGCTAGAATTTCAACTCAGTCTCTGGGTTTTTGAAGAGTTCTTACCCAGGCACAGGCAATGGGCACCACTCCTAAGCTGCTA